TTATTCTTCAAAACCGTCCCAGCAAAATTTTCGTACAAGGAACAGATAACAAAGTGCAAAATGATGATGGATGATAAGAGTAACTAAGTGTTCAAACACCTGTTCATTTGATGCAACAGCAGATGTATGCAGGGAAAAAGACCAGCAGAAGGAGCTACTGAGGCTGCGAAAAATGTCCTTTCTGTGGATCACAGTGATAATAAAAACAACTACTAATTTTACTACGAATTCATCGAAGAAAATTTTACTTGGACATGTTCTTCCATTCCTCTAGCACAAAAGCCTTCACAATCATTGCTCTGAAATTGCTACAGCAGTTACTCACCTATTATCAGTGCACCCCCCTTAAAACGCAGCATGGGTGCCATACTCTGTGATAAGCAGCGAACAGGACAGTTCATTGGTAGAATCCAACAGAGATGAACAGACAGGAAAAACAATCCAGGACTACAGATCTGGGAAACAGGGAAACTCGGTAGTGTATCTGCATATGGAAGGAGGAAATAGAAATTACTAAAATTCCACCCAGCTGGGTTGGGGGGTAACTAGCAGTGGCTGTAGTGCTCCCCCTCCCTCTCTCCTCCTCGCCCTGAGATAGTAGAGTAAGGGCGAAGGCGGATGGGAGGGAGGAAAGCAAGGGCGAGTGACTTAGATCTCAGGGGAAGGGGAGGAGGTCGTAACAAAGAGGAAAAGAATGGCTTACTGGCCGGAAGGAAGCTGATACCTTGCATGAAGATAGGAAGTGGGCACAGGGTGAGATACTGGAAGAGGGAATGGATTATATGGATTTATAGCGCTCAGCAAGAAATCTGATGCTGAGCTAAAGTTGGTGAACTGGTACGCAACATCTCTAAAACCTCATCTGGACAATTTTGCAGCCTGCACCTAAATCCACAAACGAGTGCACAGTGAGCAGCAGCGTCGAGTCAAGATTCAGTATTTGTTAAAAGAATGAATGATATAGGCGCAGAATGATGTAGGGGCCAATCAAATAACGAAAAATAACATGATTAGCCTATAAAGAAAAATTAGATTTTTCGCAGCAGAAACGGATCTTACGTACTTTAAACGAAAACAGATTAAAAGAAAGTAGAAGAACGAAGTGACGTAAGAAAGTTACAAGAACCTCCCCACACGTCTATGTTCAGCTCAACGAAGCTTTTTGTGGGTTAAAATTTCTTGCCAATGAGGCAAATACGGATACCAATAAGGGGGATAAACTGATGCAGTGCATCTGCTTGCTACAAAGACAGAATGGCGCTTTACAGAAACAATCTAACCAATGATCAACAACAGCATGACAGTACCTTGGTAAGTCTGGGTGGCGTTCGAACGTTGCAAAGAGCGTTTGTTGTGCCTGTAAAAGTAGAATAAATATGTTGAGAAAATGAATTGTGTTGTGGCCATCTACTGCTACGATGGCTTTTCATTCGCAAATTTTGATTACATTTCCAAAAAAAAAGTGTTGTTCTCTCACGGAACTGGGGTGCAAAAAAGTGTATCAATGAAATACCACCGGACGGCACGGGGTCGTATTCCGGCTCGAACAGATCCACGCCTGCAGGCATCAAAACGCTGCACGCACCACGTGGCACATACGCTTTCCTTTTGTTTCTTTTCGGTAATGGTACTGAACATGTCGATGCATCCGACGAGAAGCTAGCGCTTTCACAGCTGAAATGTTCCTCGCCCGATTCATCGCCAACCTCATCACCTCCTATCTGCAAAATCAAGCTATGAGAGCATTTTCTCCAGCTTCAAACAAGAAATGCGCCAATAAATTTCGTGCGTCCTATCCTTCGTCCCCCAAAAACGAGACAGTACTCCACATGAAGAGATATTCCCATCGAGATCACTCACGCACTGAATGGATTCATCGTTTGCAGCTACCACCTTCCACTGATGCATATTTTACATAGTTCCGCAAAATTGGCGCATAACTTGGGTGAGCCCAAAGACCACATTATGACTAATCATAATCAAACACGCTAATCCAATGCCAAGAAGCGTGTTCGAAGCAAAAATGAATATATGAGTTATCACGCGGACATTTTCAAGAAATGAAGATGAAATTACGCGGAACTGGAGGTACATTTGATCCAGAGCCTTTTTTCCATTGAGTTTCGGTGAACTTTTTTTTGTTTCTAGTTATGTTAGAGGTGCTGCAGTAGATCAACAGAAGAATGACAAGAATCAACAGAAGAAGGTTATCAGAGAGCGGAAGAAGTGAACAGGGAAAAGAGTGCAATGCAACACCACACACATCTGTTAAGCTTGCAAATGAATAAAAGCAGTGCACAGAGGAAATAAAAAATGGCTTGCACGAAAAGTTTGTTGCTGGCCGCAGTGCGCATGAAAATATTACATTGAGTGTTCACTGAATCCCAGCACACTTTTGCTTCTCCAGGCCAAAATCAATTCATTTCGGTTAGAATTCGTTGCCGCTCCTGTTGCTGTTGCATTCACGTAACTCTTAAGATGAATTGCAGGAAGAGTGAGGAAGCTCACTGCAATATCCATTTTTTCTTGCTTCACCATCATCTACCACTCCACTACAGATTGACTGGACAAGTCATCCAGGTGAAACGATGGCGCAGAAAATTCTGTTTTGTACTGCCATCAGATCCATTCGTCCTTTCCGACTGTTCATCTCGAAAATTGACCCTCAAAATGTATTATTTCGTTGTTTCCGTCACTCATCCGCGTGAATAGACACCAAACCACAACGGTAATTTGTCGACGGCTAGGGTAAAAGCATCTATCTGCGCACTTCAGATTCGTGAATCAAACAATATTCCGCAAAATCCAGGCGCGGTTTCGCCAAAAAAAATGAATATAATAACAGTCTGAAAAACAAGAAACACCAACACCAACAGCAAGCGTAAATCTCTCCAACTTCTCGAAGTAAGATGTGAGTACACCCCACAGAACCACAGCAAGATACATGCACACACATATATACAGCACATAATACGAATAGAAGCGAGGATAATCTGGATACAAACCCATTCAAATTTGGCTTCACTTGCCTATCCGGCTCCAAAAAGCACCGCAAATCGTATAGTAAGCTGAAGCAAAGTGTTAGGAGGCAATTTCAAAAAGAGTGCTCCGGAGAACAACGGGTAATGCGGGCGATATAAAAAGAAATTCGGAAGTTGCAGAGCGTAAATAGGATAAGTAAGAAGACAGCACGGAAGCCGCAGGGTAGAAAAAGGAGTTAGCAGCAGCTTCAGTCCGCTAAAATTTCTCGCATATTCGACTCATACTTAAACGGCCATAACAAGCTTAAAACACTCCATGCTTTCCTGCTAGAATTGAAGTGACTCAGATGCTCTCTCACATGCGTATCGGGAACAATTTTTTCCACATTTTGTCCCTTCAGCACAGTACTGCTCTTCATTTCTTTATATACTTCCAAGCATTTTGCGAATGCTAAAACGGCAATGCGGTATGACAATTTCAGGGGAAAAAAAAGGGCCTGAACCCAAAAAAACCAGCGCCGCAAATAAAATTTAGTGAGTTTATTGGATCGAGACTGCGCTGCTCACCATCTTCAATTACACGTAAACAACAACTTCATCACACACAGAATCACTGCACTGGAACGAAGAAAGCTCTCAGCTAACCAGTGGTATGGAAGATCTAATCTACGAAGAACATGCTACTCAAAGCTTCAGCACAAAAATCTCTTCACGAATAAAAAAAAAAAAAAGGAAATGTGAGCGTCGAGAAGCGCCTGGTAAAGCAGTGGCTTGAAAAAGACAGA